AAGGAAACCATACAGGAAATATACAAGTAGAAGGTAAGAAACGTGCATATATATGTGTGTGTGGGTGTATGTGTGTTTGTGTGTATGTGTGTGTGTATGCGTATTTAGAAAAGCCATCTGACATGTTTATTTTAAACCAGAGCATTTCTATGTTCAAATAGCCAAAGAAATTTATGTATTCAATATGCAGTAAGGAGAAACACCAGTAAATTAGTAATAAGTTACTTACGTCGATTGTCAACAACAGGGTGAATTTCAGAGCCAATAAAGGAGCAGAATTATTAGTTCCATTCAAGCTATTATATGTCTGAGGGAAGTTAGAAAACAAAGAGGAGAAGAAAGAGTAAAGAATAAGAAGAATAATGCACGGAATAAAGGAAAAACAAGAAAGTATGCAGGGTGGGAAAATAATGACTTCTTTCGGCAAAGGAGGAGCAAAGTATGAGAAGTGTAAGGATGTCACATGAGCTTTCGGTACCAAATCTTGATGAAGGGGAGCAGGATTATTCCACTTTTCTGATTTTCTTAATGTTGCAAGTGCACTGAGGATGGAAATACTAGATTATGCAGAGCTGGGTTTTCTTTATGACAGGTAAATATAAATATATATGATGAGCCATACATGTGCCTTCCATGGTACCTTGGTTCATGAAGGTACAATTCTAGTTGCAGAATTATATAAAAAAAAATGTTGCCACTCTTGAAAGTTTCTATTTCACCATGTAGTATATCCAGAATAAGAGCAATGAAAAAGAAAAAAATAAAAGGAATAAGATTCATTATGGGGAGGTCAGGGAAGTCGTAGCCCATTTAAAAGCCCATAGGTAACCTTATGACTTCGTATTCAATTTGGGAGTCATGATGAGGAGACACTCCATGCTAGAGTCTGAAAAGTTTACTTTAGGTAAGGGGATTTGGAAGAGACCTGGTGTATAGGCTAGAGCCTCTCCACTGTAATGAAACCCCACGGTGGGGACTGTGTTGAACCGTACCTCTGATTCCAGAGGTCTGCGATCCTGTGCATCTAGTAAGTCCTCAGGTGATAGCAATGCCACGTGTTCTCAGGCCATTGGGAGTGGATGGATATCAACTTCCCTTTAGAGAAATCTGGCCAAAGAGCCATTGCATAATAGTTCAAGAGAAAAGAGGGCCAAGGGAAAACAAATAAATTTTTTGTATATCTAAAAATATTTCTAGCCATAGAAGTAGCAAAGAGGATGAAGAAATACAAATTGTAATTCTATGACACCACTGTCAAAAAAAAAAAAGAAGTAGGAAGAATAATCCATGGAAAGGAGTAAATGGATAGAATCAAGACCATAGATCAGTTTTGAAGGGCAGAGGGGTTGTTTAGGAGAAAGAAGAGAAATAAAGGAACCTAGGCAGGTAATTTTGGACTTTCCGATGAGCAAACTTGAGAGACCTCAAGTTCCAGTTCAAGTTCTCAGTGTATGTGCCCACAAATGGAACAGTAGAGTATTGCTGCTCCATAGATGATTAGGACAGGGGAGAATTGGAATGAACTGTAGCCCCTCACCTCCTCTCTGTATGTAACTATATGTGTGTAACTATCAGGCATCGAAGCTTTATATAGAATTGATAAGTGCTTATTCACATTGAGATTAACTTGCACAGGGGAGCATTGACTTTTGTAAGATAACTAATTTTTTACACCATAGCTTATGGATACAATAAAGGATATTCATAGAAATCTTTTAAAGATTGACATAATGTACCAAACCAGTTTTGGAAAGAAGAGACACTATAGAGTTCATTCTTTGAATACCCATATGGTTACTTTTGGTAAAATTTCCTGACTTTCAGATGTAAAAAATGATTTGTATCTAATAATTCTTTGATAATTCAGCTTATCTTTCCCATTTTTAAAGCCATATTTCAATATTGCAAGCATACAGTGCATTATTTCTTATATGTGATTTGTATACCTTCTTGCATAAGTGGATCAAGAAACTTTAAGATGGCTAACCTGGAGGATACAGGAAATGTAGGCATTCCAGCAGCCCGCAAGAGTTTAGAAAAAAATGACCATTTTTGTCAACGATTATGCTACAAGTATATGTCCCAACCTTTATCTGAGAAAAAAGGAATGACATATTGCACTGAGCTGTTACTACAACTTTGTCCTTTCTGACAAATTCTGACAATGTCAGGACAAACTGAAGAACACAATTGAATACTTGTCGTGTAATGGTATAGCATCGCTTTGATGTTCATGCTCTCGTCCATGACTTACTGAGATCACTTTCGCCTTCAGTCGTCGTGTATAAGCACATTGGGATATGCTCACTGTTTTATTTTAGTTATGCCCTTAGGAAGCATAATGTCATTTTTGAAATCCTAACTGCATGTCTCATAAGGCCTGTATTCTGATTTTTCTGTCATACCGTCCTAACCATTGGGGGAGAAAACACAAAATCGGAAGTAATCACTGCTAAAGCAGAGCATGAGGATTCAGCTCCATGCCAGTCCTGCGTGAATGCGTCTTTGGCTTTCTCATATTCACACAAATTGATTATGCTTCCCTTTTGCTTTTTAGAATCATCTGAGAAACGTCTTCACTTGAAGGTAATAACTTTATATTTATATCTTGAATTAACTACATGCTTCATGAAATACATAGGATTTATTTAATGTCTCACTTCAAACCCCATTCAGCCTGCCATTGAAAGGAAACATCCCACTTGGAAAAAAGCAGTACCAAAGGGAGATTTACAGACATGCAATTCAGGTAAATTTTGCAATATATATCACTCTGGAAAGTACAGTACATTAAAATGTTTGAGATGCCCACAGTCTTCTCATTATTTTTTCCCCATGTTTTGGGCTGGATTTGACATAAGTAATTCAGTTGTGCTTCTTGATGTCCATTTTGGCAAATAAAGTGTTTGCAAGCATGAGAACAAAAATTAAGTGTTAAGATGTTTCTACTTATGGTTCAATACCGTAACATCTGCAGCCTGGAACCTTAGACGGGTTAGGCATCCACAGAGCTTATTACAAGATTCCAAGATGTTTTCAACATTGGCAGATGCTTACTGGAGAGCTGGTCTCTGTGGTGCAGGCCTGAGTCCTGCTTACTCAGGAGGTCGTGGCAAGAGGTTCACTGACACCCAGGATCCCCTTTCTAAAGACAACAACAACAAAACGCTTGCTAGAATTCTGATACTTACCTAGAGTAAACCTTTGCTCGCTAACATGTCAACTGAGTTTCAACTTTAATTATTTCATCTCAGTTTCAATATACTGATGATCATAAGCAGATAGATGTTCTCACTAACACGCGTTATGAGTTCGTATGTATGTATAGTATCTCATATCTTTGTCATTAAAAATTGGGAATATAATCAGTCCTTCAAAACAACGATCCCTAAACTTTTTAGCCATAAGAACTCTTATAGTATTAAAATTAGTACAAATTATACAGAGCTTTTTTTTGTATGTTACACATCTCTCCCCATGTATACTACTAGCAGTTAAAATCTGAAGGAGGGAAAATACAAGCATGA